AAAAAAAAAAAAAAAAAAAAAAAAGAAAGAAAATCTTTTCACGATCGTTGAATCATAATTGCGCATTTGCATCTATGACCCTCGAGGAGAAAAAACGAAAAATAAAATAAAATAAAAAAAAAAGCCGAGTCAGAGAAGGAAGAGATTAAAAAGTCCAAGGGATGAAAGCAACTCAGCTCGTTTCTCAAATTTATGCGCCTCACGATTCCCTGGATGACAGGGCACGAGTTTGTAACCCCTCACTTTTTCAAAATATCTCCCGGAGGAGGGTAAAAAGGAATCTCGGATCAAGCGTTTGGGACGCTTTCCACTCGGACTTGCTCGAGAGCAAGCGGTCTAACGACTTTTCATCTTCGAAGGATTCGTCGCAATAACGACAACTTTTTAAGCAGAGAAACTCTTAACTCGGATATGAAAGCAACCACCGATCTCTTTCCATCACCGAATGGTGTTATGCAAATTAATCTTTAGAGGAAGAGCTACTATGGTTGAACGTTGACAGAAACTTGGTATAATTAATAATTGCAAATGTATACAATTGGTCACAAAAGTGCTGGTCGTATTGAATATTTCATTTTATAAATATATAATTATAAATATTAATATAATGAGATAAGCTGTGATAGAAAAGAATAAATACTAATTAGAAGAATTAATTAATTCACCAATAAGCATTTTCTTATTAATGAATATACACGCCATTATATATATTTAATTAGAACAAAATCTAATTAATTTATAATGTCGCATCTTGATCCTTTAAAAGTTATAAGTAAAAAAACAATGAAATAATTGTGGATTCTTCAAGAAAATTCGAGGTTCTTCTGTGATTTAGTTGTTTCAGTTTGGAGAAATTTATAGGTGAATTTCTTTCCGGTTTTTTCGGAAAATAGTCGCGATAATTTTCGCCTCGAGAGAGTAAGAAACGAAGAATGAAGCGACACAATGATGCATAACTGCAATTTAACAGTTTTGCCACCGGTTTATTATCTGGGAGATAGGGACGAGCAAAGAACTAGTGACGAGAACGTTAATTAACATCTCCAACGTTTCTTTCACTGGTTTTACAAAACCTGTATCGATATTGCATGGCGAATTTCGAATATCTTGAATTTTTCTTTATATTTTCTTTTTTTATTCTAATGAAAAAACCTAGATTGCTAGGTTAACGCAAAGATTAAAAGAAAAAGATAATTTATTTTCTTTTAATCTTTGCGTTCATCTTCGAATTTAATTTCTTTACAATCTCTTATTTCGTTTATTCTTCATTTATTCCCTTTTCTTTTCTTATACTTCTCTCTTCTTATCTACTCTTCATATTTACATTTTACTCATTTTTTAATTCATCTCCATCATGTTTATTCCAAAGCCGATTAACATAGAATTAAACAACGAACACGATAGCCTCAGATTTCGTTTACTTTTTATTAAAATACTCCGAATATCTCAAAATTGGAAGTATTACGAGATTACAAACTTTCATGGAAAAACTTACGACGAGGGATTTGTTTACTTCCTCTCGACACCCTATCAGCCATCATCACAGATTGCATAAAAAACGAAATAGATTCCCTTTTCCTTTTCATCCTCCTTGAATCCATTCGTGGAATAAGCGGTTGAAGAGTTGGAAAAAGAACCAAGGAACTTCTTAATATCGCGGAATCAATGGAATCGATTAAATAAAGCAATGGAAGAAAGGTAATGCATCGACGAGTACGTCTCTGAAGCCAATAATTCCGTGAAATTTCTCCAGGATTATTGTGAACTTTCTCCTGTCCCGTTAACCGGGAACGAGCGTTATTAAGTTTTGATTTTTATGGAGGCCTTCGCGCTGAAAGGAACAACAGCCTCGATAGGAGGATAGGAAACGAGCCGAGAACAGTTCCATTCTACCGGATAAAGGGAATTTACAGCGATATCGAATTTCTTCTTCTTCTTCTTTTTTTTCTCATCCCTTAACAGAGAAGCAAAATAATCTCGTTCTACACACGACGTCTTATTATTTTATCGGGGGAATTATGAGAAATGATACGGGATAGTTAGTTTTCATTTTATTTTTCTCTTCTTATTTTTCTGGAAATATATTTTAGATGAATTGAGGAAATAAAAATTATGAAAATAGTTAAAAATATCATTACTGGTGATATACGCGTGGATAAGGAATTAATTTTTTATTTTATTTTCCCTTCGCTCTTGTTAAAAGATGGATTCAGGGACGTATTATGATAAATTGAGGAAAGAAATTACGAAACTGTTGAAAATCTTGTTATCACGCTGACGTGGTTATATTGATTGGTGGAATCAGATATGTCGAAGATACGTAAACTTGGATTGTAAAATTGAGTTATGTACGTTTCTTCAAGACGTATCGAAGGTTTCATGCTATGGTTGAAAAAGATTGGGAACTTTCACCGTTTCTGCAGCTGACGTTTGTTTGGCGGAGATATTTCCGTCAGTTTACGGGAATCGTGAAATTGGTGGATATTTATATAAAAAGAGAGAAAAAAATAAAGTTAGATTCTTTGAAGTCATTGAAAAAATGTTTAGATAAAATCTTTTTTTGTTTTTATACAGGATAGATTATTTATTTACTCGATTATTAATTATTAATGAACAGATAAAAATTTACTTTTGAAACTTTTCTGTGTATTTTTTTTTAAAGATTAATAAGCTTAGATTATTATGATGTTGTATAAAAAAACGAAAGAAATAGAAAAATAAAGTTTCTTCGAAAAATTTTTAATTTGTTCATCAACAATGAAAGATTAAAAAAAAAAATAATGAAGATTTTCACGCCAATTTGTTCCACCTTGTATATATATTTTATTCAACAAATAAATGACTTGAACGAAAATTCAAATGATTAATTAATTAATCTATATACGAGAAAGTTTAACGAAGCTCGAAATTGTTTAAATCAATGGAAGGAATCATTATAAATTATTCTGGCATTTTTCTAAAGTATTTCACAGATCAGGATTAGATTGGTAACTCGCTAATTTGAATATTCGCCAGGCGGGATTGCATCTCTAGGGAACGACGATGCTTGGATCGACTTGCACACGGAGCATAATCATATGCAGCTATTTCGACGTTTCAATTTCGAGGCACAGAGATTAGCGAATTCCCTCGCGATCCATTTGTCGATTAATAATAATTACAAGCGTATCGAGCGTTCCACAATG